AAATTCAAGGGTCGTCAACCGCACCACTACATGTGCCTCCAACCCGGTCCTGGCATGACACACACCTATAGGGACTATGCAACTATATCGCTGATCGGGCAATCCAAGGTTGCTGCCTTGAAGGAGGACATTCCCAAGGCTGAGGCAGCTGTGACTAGGCTTCTGCCGTTTGTCAGCCACAAGGCTGATGATGTTGATGCTGAAATGTTTCAAGCCGTTGTGGCTGACGAAAAGCAGCTTGTCAGCGCGGTGGAAACAAATGTGAAAGACGCTAAGCGCCGGATCAGCCTTCATAAGGGGCCTTCCAAAAAGAAGAAGGCTGCTGATCTCGAGTGATAATTAATGTAGTTTTTGTTCCAGTGCTCTGGCCACTGGAATTTGGCTGTTCAATTGATCTTGTCATAGGAAGTTAGACATGTGATTAACTGAATAACGGATCCCATGCTAGGGGCGGTCAACTCAAACCTTGATAGTCACAAATCAAGTGGTGCTGTTGGACAGCCTTCTGGGAAGCCAAAGCCTTATAGGTGTCATGCACTGCGATTTCCTGGCAGTCTGAGTGCTGGAACTTGTGCCCTGCCCCTGGTCACTTAAACTGTTATTATAACGTTTGATCTTGGGACATCCCATCCAAGTTGACCCCTTCAATCTTGATGCAGCCGGAAATCTTTGACATTTGTATAGTCCTATCACCAGTGGTGTTCCAAAGCACTCAGGATGCTAGTTCTGGGGTTTGGCTTGCCTGCGCAAGCATTTTGATGGCAGTGACAACATTGCCACCATCGTCCACTATGCACAAGTCGCTATATGTAGGAATGATACATTACCAATAGCAACCGTGTAGTGAAAACGGACACCTGCACCCCGCAGTCCAGTTTGGAGAGCGAGCCTTGAAATTGAAGCACGTCAGCAAGTGCACCTGGCACGAATGATTTTGTGTGTGTGTGCTGATCAAGGCGTGGGATTAATTAGTCGAGGTTTTCGAGGTTGTGTTGGATGACTCTAATAGCAACTCAAGCATGCATACATGAACATACACAGGATAGACCCTGGAGACAACCTGAATAGTGTTGAACAGTAGCATGCATGTGTTACATGTGAAAGCACTGCCCTATGGAAGCTCGCAGGGTCCACATCTGGGATCATGGATGTGGTGGAGGAATTTCTGGAGCTTGGCCGGAATGTGCACTTGGCTGCATTTGGGGGTGTGCGTTGCACCATGTACACCACACACAAAAAACCCGGACACACACACACAACCAGACACGGACGCACACACATACACATGCACACATCCATATACACACACACGTGCGCATGCATGCACAGAGAGAGAGAGAGAGCCAGTGCCTGCAATCACACACACACATGCACACATGCACACACACACATGTGTGTGCACAGAACACACGATTTGAACACAACACATGCCATCACCCTGAAGTTCCCTTGTGTGAACCATTTTGGGCACCAATTGACAAACTTTGGAGGGTGGTCGTTGATCATGGTGGCCGCAAAACCAACTCTGTTCTTGGGTAAACAAAGGGGCCCCCCTTAGCAAATGGTCATGCTATCCACTTCCAAAGCCTAGAGGTGAGTGTCGTGACCATCATGAAGATGCTGGACATTATCAAGCGGCGATTTCCCACGAAGTATGCACCGAAACTTTGACTGTGAATATAGCGCTGGTAGATACATACAATAACTTGCTTGCTCCTATCAACTGGGGTTCGAAAGCATGTGCGTAATAGCTTGGAAATTTAAGCGACACACATGCATGCATGCACATATATATATATATGTCTACATAGGGATCGTCCCAACAAATCCAGTGTGCTTGCACGGCTGATCCGGCTGAGGAGGAATATGCAATCACTCCTGAGCCACTTTGACAAGGACAAGACAAAGAACATCGGAAGAACGTTTTGGAGGTGGCTGGATAAGCAGCCGTGGCGTCGAATGCTGCCAGCTGTCCATCAGACATTTGTCTGCAACTATAATGCGCGCGCATGCGCACAAACATGAGTGGAGCATGGTTGTGTGCTCAGGGTGGATGTGCCATTGGTGCCTTGGCGGTTCAAATATGAGTGTGTGTTGTCCCCAAGATTCCTCTAAGCTGGTTGCAACTCAGGGTGACCCGGGTCTGCTTGACGAATTCTTCATGGGCAAGTGGGACATGATGCTTCCAAGCAATGTGCCCGCAGCCTATGTTTGCTGCACACGCTTCACCTTTGGTATGTTGAGCATGTGCACGGGTCAGGTTTTCCAGCCTTTATCATTACCATCCCAAACTATTTGAGATGCGCTTGCTTGGCCCTCCGGGTGTTTCTTGAATGCACACAGTACAGCTGTGGCCGTAAAAATTGCCAGCATTTGTCCAACGAGATGCTAGGCCCTTCAGGACTTCTGGGCCGCCAATCATGATGCACCGTGGCTGCTGGCTCATCCATATCGGTCTCAGCTGGACCTAAATCGAACCATACCCATATTCATCCACGGGGACGATGCGGAGTCTCACCGCCGTCGCAGCTTTATGGTGGTGTCGTGGGGGTCCCTTTTGGTATCTGGCTGCAGCCCGTTTGACTCCAATATGCTGGTGTTTGCAGGAGACAATGCACAGTGCCTCCACGAGACATACAACGTGCTCAACTGCTGGTTGTGCTGGAGTTTGACTGAATTGTTGTTGGGCACATTTCTCGACGTGGACCCTTTTGGATCCCCGATTCAGCGTGCTGGACCTGGTGGCCGCCAGGTGGCGGGTGGCTGGAAGGCGGTGCTGGCCTGCCACAAGGGGGATGAGGCCTATCTCCAGAAGGCCTACAACATGGTCACTACCTGGAACAGTGAGTCGGTGTGCTGGCGATGCGGGGCGTCAAAGGGTGCAAACACTGAGCTAGTGTATACCACGCATGGTCCCAACGCGCCTCATCGAGAAACGCCGCATGGCATGCATTCAATTCAAAAATACGGAGAGCTCGATCCAATAATTGCTGATGCGCACTGCAAGTGCATGCTCCATGTTCTACTACATTGGATTCCGAAGGCTGCTGGACACTGCGGCCTTCATCGAGCAGGTTTGCCGTGAAAACCCCTTTGTAAGATTACCAGGGTTCCACATTGACCTGCTGCAGAATGATTGGCTGCATTGCGTCGACCTGGCTATCGTTCCGGAATGCGCCGGGTCAGTGCCCTGTTGCCATCGTACATGTGTGTAGCACGCAGCACTCAGCGCATGCCTCCACTCAATTGATGTTGTATTGTCTTAGGCTTTAATTGAGTTGGCCTCGACTGATGCTGTGTGGTCAGGAGTGTTGCTTGCAACTCATGAGCGAGTTTATTGTTGCACTATAATCAGTGCAGGATCTGATATGGATGCGCGGTTGCGCATTGCATACGTTCAGTTCAGAGGATACTGCAAGACCAACAAAGTTAGACGCTTGCAGAGCATACCGCATGCATGTTACCATTCATGCTGCTGGTGTTTGACTTGTCCGGTCATGAGGAAACAGAGGCCAAATTTTCAGCTTGCGCCTTTGGCTTTACTTTTGCTCCACAATACTGGACACGTAGTGTTCTTGGCCTAGGAAACACATCGTGGGTGATAAGACCAAGCGTGGTTTGCGTCGCTATCCCTCGTTGGCCCAGAAGCACTTGAATGCATCGGACCAGTGCTCAGCTCGAGGCATGGCAGTGGAACACACATGCACACACGCGCTGAGCTTGATCAGGAATCTGTGGTGTTGGCCAAGTTCCTCATGGACGTTTGCTTGAAAGTAGCTGCTAAAGACCCGAGTGACCACCATGCTGCGTTTCTCGGATATCGAACTGTTTTTTAGTGCATGGTGGTTCAACTATCAAACATCATTCCAGGCTCCGAGCTTCTCTTTTCGTCAACCTAGTGGAGATGCGACGGGCGCTGAAGTCTGCGAAGAATGGCATCCTCCCCCCCAGCGAAGTGGCGTGCCAACTACTTGTTTCACTGCGCCTTCAACGGTTCCATGCCTGATTTGTATGCGTGTGTACATTGTGTTCTGCAAGCATCGGTAGTTGTGTTCAGCCATCGGTAGCGAGGTTTATCCAGTGATGCGATTCAGGAAGAACGACTTGTATACAAAGTGCGGCCAAAATACCATAAGCCCCACAGTGTGCATCATTGGGCGCAGTCCTGCGTTTTTTCCAGGCATTCGTGGTTCCACTGAGGACTGATCATATGTGCTATGATCAGGCACCGCGCATGTCGCCTTTGGCGACTGCCACATATATGGACGAGGATTATGTCCCTTGGTCTGATGTACAGCTCTGATTTGTGCGCTGCATGCAGCATACCTTGTTCCCTGCAGCAGTGTCGGTTCTTAGCTCAGGTTGGCAAGATCAAGCGGTTATCAATGCTGAGTCACCCAATAAAGTTGGGCCGTCAGGTTATGCTTAGGTGGGCTGCATTTTGCAGCGTCAGGTGGCTGAGCCAACTTGAGAATGCTTTGCGCTGATCCTCCAGCATCACCAGTATGTAGACATGTATGCAAGAATTATATATAAGTTAAATGATTCACGTACCATGTCTGGATGTTGGATGATGGAAGTGATGAATTAAACCGCTTGAATTGGGGTGCTTGCTAAACAGGCCAGGTGCGCGGTCCAAAAAGGCCGCCCGGCAGCTGCAGCAGCCGCAGCAGCAGCTTTTTGGGGAGACAGGGGTAGTTCTGGGTGGATGCAAAGGTTGATAGCTGGATGTGGTACCCTATTATATGCAAACCACATGCCAAATCCAGCCAACAACGTTTCTTCCATCCAGAATAGGGCATGGAAGATACGTGTATATACATTGATTTGACCCTAGCTTGATTTGCTAAGTGCCCTTGTTTGACCCTAACCCAAAAGTGCCCATCAAATAGAGGGCACTTACGAAAGGTACGAATAGACAGCCCTCGGAGGGTGCTGGTGGGCTGAGACCCCTTAGCTTTCAGCTGGCGGAAGAAAATACCAAAGTGAGAAGACGAGTCCAGGAAGGCTTCAGCGCCGTGTTCGCCAACTTCTCGCTGAGCCGAAAGAAGTCCACGCCGCTGCCGGCGAAGACGGCCAGCCACAGCAGCGCTAAGGACCCCGCCTCCGCGACACAAAACGCTGCGCGGCCCTTTGGGCTGGGCGCGCAAGAAACGGTTCGTGTTTTGTGTTGGCAGCCATAAACATGTCCTTTTTTTGCGGCGTAGCCCCCTTCTAACGTCCAAGAAAACAAAAGCAGAAAACAAAAGAAAACAAAAACAAAAGAACAAAGCCCAGAAAGCAACAGCTAGAAACAAATGCCTCGAAGAGTGAAAAAAAGCAAGCCGTCAAGGGTTTTGTTCATCTCCTAGCAAGGCTAACCCCACTGAAAGGGGGACTTATAAGTGGGCTATTACCGAAGGCTTACAAACAACTTACTAACTTGGCGAATCGAACACCCGAATAGGAAAAGCCAAGATGTCAGGGGGCTGCTTGGTTCGCCTTGATCGTCCACCCTGAGAAAAAGCGGAAGATTTGGCAGACCGATCCTTCATTGCCATAGAAATCAAGAAGGACCCTGCCGTTTTTCAGGGTTGGGAGACCAAGGTTTTGTTTATTGCTTTGGTTTGTACAAATGGTGGACCCCCTCTTGGTATTCAAAGAGAAACCATGAGGAATCTAACCATCTGGGATCCTCTACGAGAAGACAGAAGGGCATACATAAGAAGGAACTAACGCAATACGGAAAAGTCTCAGAACAAGAACAACACTGACGACAATCACAAGACCAACGATAACAACACAGCATAAGCATAACTACAACAGGCTCAAGCCATGTGTTTTCCATTCGAAGCCATCGAAAAACGGACTCTCCGAGACGACGAACAGCCGCAGAACGAACGTCCACGCCTGGACGAGGTAAAACACCGCCACGGGCGGCAAAGCCATAGCCATCGCCCAGTAGTTGGACATGCTCAGCGGGGTATCTCTGTGTGTGTGTGATTATATATATATATATATATGTATATATGGTACCCCTCCCCCCCAAATCTTGGTTGCTTTCTGAGCCCCTGCTAAAATTTTAGCTTCTAGTGGTTTAATGGAAAACCCATTAGTTGGCAAAAAGTTAAAGTCCTAACATCCAAGCAAAATGCACCAAAGAAATGGTGGTTGGATCTGTTGGTTTCCCTTTAAACCTACCCGTGAAAAGGGTACCCTCAACCAAGAGACAGACCCAAATGCGAAGTGATCTCCGTCGGAGCAACATGATATTCACAGGCCCGTGATCAAAAGCAGTGCTGGCTTTCCCAGACCACCCGTCGCTGCGGAAAGAAAGAAACAAATGCTCTCTTTGGTTGGGAGTTGGTTTCAAAGGGAAACCCCTCCAAAAACAAGGAATCGTGGGCACCATTGAGGGTCTGGGCACAATATGTTCATGGTTAATCGGGTTCCGTGGCTTTCTGTAGCTGCTTGTTGCCAGAAAACCCTGATCAAATTCAGGGCAGGTTGTATTTTGTATGATGCAAATCAGCTTGAGTAGTCACAATTCACCAACCGGACTGACAGACCCAATAGCTGCCATGTATGCGATCTTTCCCTGCTGTAGGCGAGGTCGCCAGATTTCATGCAGCAAGGCTACAGAAACCGTGCAAGACATGTTGGTCTTCAAGGGTCATGGCTTGTCGGCAGGCTTGCATTTTAGCCTCGAACTCGTGCCGAGGAAGCTGTGAGCAGGGAGACACAGTGTGATGGTCCGATTCAAGATGGTCATTGACACTGCAACGAGGGACATTACAAGCAGCAACAAGAGCAAATAAAGATGCAGACCAACGAGAGAACATCAATTCATATGGTATTGAACCCAGTGCTTCGAGTCACCACTATAGTAGGTAACCAGGGTTTCCTCTAGAATTTACGTCATGGTGTCCCTTGGATACCTACTATGCTGGCAACTGGAAGCAAAGGGGAATACAAAAAACACGCCTTGTCAGCTAGGCACTCAAGGGTTGCTGCATGCCAAGGGAATGTGCGACACGGATCGGCACCCGGGACGAGTCTTCCACCATTCCAACAATCAGCAAGGCAGAGGGTCTTGGAAGACTCTCATCTTGAAAAGGCTTCTTCCTGTCCACTTCCAATCTTTTAACAATGGCTACTTCATGGAGATGAAGCCGTCGCAAGGGATCCCAAACCTTTGGTTGCCCCTTGTGCCTAACAAAACTGGTGGCAAGCCGAGGCTGCTAAGCTGAACCTTCATGGAGCCCGGAATCGGAGCCTGAGTTTCAGCTCGCAACTGGTGGAGCATAGCTGGTGGTTGAAACATGAACACATTCAGCACCCCCCCCTGCTTTTCCCATGTCCCAAATCCCAAGCAATGTCCCAAAAACAGAGGCTGGGACCTGGCGGCTGTTCTGGATTTCAATTACTCATCTTCGTTGCGGCACAGTCCTTGAACATTCTACACAACCGGCCTATCGAAGTGTTTGGGGCACTTTGAACTGGAACTTGTTGGTTCAGCACCTTGCAAGGCTGGCTGTTCCATTTGTACCCTTTTTGTGCCCCAAGGTTTCGTTGCCATTTTGGGTAGCAATGGACAACCCTTGGAAGAATGTAAATGGTTGGAAGAAGATGTTGAACGTTACCAAACAAATACATTGCTGCGACAGGGTTGGGCAGTCAAACAAGGCAAGCCACCTTCGTGTCGACTCTTTCCACCCTTGCCGCCAACAAATCGGGTGCCATGGCATGAATATATGAGGCACGGTCAAAATTACTTACTTACGGCCGTTTCGCTACTTACTTTGAGAGTCCCCTATTGTTTTCCAGGGGTATCGTTCTTTTGAGAGTCCCCCTTCATTTGCCATGGTTTTGTGCATTCTCACAATATAAACGCCGAATACTAAACTCAACAGAAGTAATTTTGACGGTACTTCCTATGGGCGATCCAGGGCAGCACACCACAAATATACGTCGTGCTATGTACAGTTTATCGCCAGACTGTGGGGATGTCCGAATGTGGGGCAACACTAAACAATTGCCTCATAATATTATCAATAGTCTTATTACTTTTTTTGGATATAACATATAATAATTAGGGGTTTGGGGTTTGGGAATAGGGAACAGGGCACCCCAAGTTCTGCATGGCTTGAAACGGTTTCAAGGGGGGAAAAAGAAAAGAACAATCAGAAATCCAGCAGTAAGCGAGGGGGTAGTTTTGGGGCCATCTATGTCTATGTAGGCATGGGTCAAAATTAAACCACTAGGGAACCGCTGGTTTAGTCCAAATTTCCATATATATATATATATATGTACCATATATATATATATATGTGTATATATATACCGGGGTTCCATTTTGGGCACACGTTTTTGACCCACAGCTACTAGGTCCCCCAGTAGAGAGGTTAGAATAAGGGTACCAACTTTTTTCTGTAGTATATTTTAGTAGGGGAACCCTCCCCCAAGAAAGAAACGGTAAAAGGGCACTACTGGAGGACCTAGGCTATGTGAATTTCAGGCACGTGGGGCAACCACAAGTGGGAACATCGGAGCCAGCGGCCTGCTTCTCGGGAGTAGATCTTCGCCTTGATCCAATGCTCTTTGGAGGACACCACGATGTGGGACCTGGCAATCCAGGGGTGTTGTACATTCCCCTTTTACATACCTTTTGGACAAATGAACCCAAAAACCTTGCTGTGTTCATACCCCTCTTCCCAAAAGGGGTATGTACCCCTTATAAAGTGGGTTGGAAACCACGGAAGCCAAGGAACCGGTATGTACTTCCACCGTTAGAGGCAAGCGCGTCGGAGGACTCCGATTTGGCAAAAGTGGCTGAGAAATAAAGACCAAGGCTCCCTCAATATTGGAAACCCCAGAAAACATGAACCGATGCTTCATTTTGCTTGCGAGGTGGCGTGTTTTTTTGTGTGGGTTCAGACCACTTTTGGAGGGAACTCCCCTATGAATTGGACGGGTTCTGCTTGGATCCGCGGGTCAACATTACCCTGTCAGCATGCACTTGAAGCCCCTTTTGGACTCCTCAGCAGAAATCCGTGGACAATAATGTTGACCCCATATTAATCGACCCCAGTCTATATTACTAGCGGGGGTGTTCCCCGCCAAAAAAGATGACTTCCCACTAAATCCAGTGACTTGATGAATATGGGGTCAACATTACCTTATCGCGAGGGAATTGCCCTTGGGGATATTAAGACAAAGGGTCCTCGTTCAAACCCTGGCTTTTCCGCAAGCATGCTTTGCACGGATAGCAGCAACACATTGTTACCGTATGTTTGCCCTATAAGCCGATACGCCTGGGACCGGTCCCGCAAAATCAAACCCCATGACGACAAACAAAACGCTCACCTAACGATCGAACCAACAGACAAAAGAAGTAAGCAATCAACGAGCCAACCAACCAAGCAACCATCCAAACCCAACCCCACCCCACCCCAACCAAACCCAACCAAAAACCCCACCCAAACCCAACCCCACCCCACCCCAACCAAACCCAACCAAAAACCCACCCCACCCCACCCCACCCCACCCCACCCCACCCCACCCCTCCCACCCAACCAAAACCCAACCCAACTGAACCCCACCCAACCCACCCAAAACCCAACCATTCGCCACTCCCGCCCTACTCGCAAGGCCCACGAGGCGTCGAAGGCGCCGCAGGTCGCCGCCTGCAACTTCTTGGAGGCTTGGGGGGGAGAGGGAAGGGGGAGGGAGCCCTTTAAGCCCCTACTGTTGATGGACGAACTCCTGCACCACTTAAGAAACCCTGGAATGATGATTCCTCTGTAAATACCAACAAACAATGGGCTCCCATGGTTTCAAAGTGGTGCAGGATTTCGTCCATCCGCAGTATTAAGCCCTTAATAAGGCCTTATTGGAGAAAGGCTTGGGAGGCCCCCTCAGCCCCCCAGCCCCCAGCCCTGAATAAGCCCTTTTCCAGTGCTACCCTCCAATTAACCAGGGATTTGGTTGTGGCTCCAATGGACATACCCTGGATAACCAACGGGTTTTTCATGGGTTGTCCACGCAACATACCCCAACAACCATCCCAATATAAGGCCTATAGGTGCGGTTTTTCCATACGCAAGTTAGCCCTGAGATCAAAGCCACCGACAGAGAAGTTTCATGTGCATGGGCAATATCCATTTCGCACCAGGCCCTCCAGGAACCCATCCCAAGATCCCAATGGGGGCAGCGACGTGTTGCGGCCGTGTTTTCGGCTGGGGTGTCTCTTGCGTGCCTTTTAAGGGGTGGCAAAGGACCTGTGACCAGCATCTCCGAATTGGTGGTTTGGTTTGGTGGTGTTAGGGATCAGGGGGTGGTTTCCCATTTACCCTTTACCAAGGCCTGGGGTGAAGATCCCCAAAATACCAGTTCATTCCACCAATTAAGGGTTACCTAACTCACTTGCGCAAAAGACCTGGAAATAAAAAGGTGATCACCTTTTGGGACCTTTACTAAAAATGGACCAAAATGGGAAAACCAAAAGGTCAAAAGGTCGGCTTTGGGCAAGTGAGCTAAAGTACAAGGCAATAGGACCTCGCCACAAGTCATTGAAACAAAAAGGCGATCATTCACATATCTGGGAGGATGATGCAGGTCATGTGCGGCAAAACAGTATCTAATGCAGGTAAACCTGAATTCCTCTCGGTGTAGCACAAACACATCAGCAAACTAACTTGCCTCAAACTAATGTCGCACTGGTGAGCATGTCACTGTAAATATTCATACCGTTGAAACTCACAATGGGGCTGTCTCAGGATAGGGGCAATCTGAGACAGGGCGATGCCCAATCCCCCCAAATGGCAAGCGAGTGCTTCGTCCTGCGCTTGGTGCCTCAAGTGAGTTGTGTGTTCGTGTGTCTGTGTGTCTGTGTCCGCGCGCCAGTGTGTCTGTGTGTGTGTGTCTGCGTTTTTGCGTGGCTGCCAGCCTGTGTCTGCGTATGTGTCGGTGCATCTGTGTGTCGG